ATACGAAAAATAGTGGGTTGTTTCCCTTCTACAAAATTGTTTTGACTATCCTAGGTCCTCAGTCATGTAATAAGTGAACTGGTGAGAAAACCGAACTTGTATTTCAGAGAATTATTTTAATAATTTGTTGGAACATAATATTGGGCTGGCCAAAAAGTTCAAGTTTTTCTAAAGGCAAAATCTGAATGAACTTTTTTGGCCAATCCTATACATCTGTTGCATATTTTACATCATGTTTTTTGTCCTTTTATCAGATTTGATTGGCACTAGTGACACAGAAATTGCCCACCACATACAATAAAAATGGCAGGGATTTCTAAAAATGAGGACCAATTAAAAGAAAAATTGTTAATTTATTTATTTTAAAATTTTTATTGGGGGTATAGTTGATTTACAATAGTAATTAATATATATTTATATTTTAAATGAAAATAAACTGTCTAAAGATTTTTTCAACAACTGATCAGTCAGTGGTCTTGTTCTTATAAGTGAGTTCTTCTTGTGTACCATGTCCTCAAGCACAGTTTTGAAAGCTTTGCATGCATTATTTTATTTAATCCGTAGACCAACTATCACTCTAATTTAACAAATTAGGAGTCTTAGAGCTGTTTTATAAAAGTGTTCACAATCACACACTTGAGAAACATTCTAATCAAGCCTTTCAAAATACACAGTTACAAAACACATTATTTTTTTTTTTTACCATCCAAGGTAAAGCATCTGTATTTTTTTGCATATGTGCACCCTCATCCTGATATAGGCTTCATTTTCTTCATTTAATGTTAAGATGAGAAATGCCGACATCTTCTGTACCATCTATTTCCCACCTTTACAATCTTTATCTTCCATTCTGGAATGACCACCTCCTCTCTTTGCCTATTTGATTACATATACTTTCAGGTCCACATTAATTTCCTACGACTTTTAACTTCTATAGAACAGTATCTAACACTGAATTTTACTTATTCAAGCATTCACCTACCTATTCATCCATTCAACAAACATCTAAGTGCCAAGCCATGCTCTAATCTAATACTAATTAGATTATTTTACAAAACAAAAATTCAGAAGCAGAAACTACTATGGTTCCTTTCATTCACATTACAATTATTAATGATCACTTCGTATGTGAGGCATGGGCCAAGAAGAATGATTAATAAATGCGAGAGCCCTATTAGTGCTTATCAGTGAAGTACAGGGAAGCCTGGCATGCTGCAGTCCATGGGGTGGCAAAGAGTTGGACACAACCTAGTGACTGAATAACAACAAATCAGTGCTTATTAACTGAGGATTTACCATGTGCCAGGCACCATTCTAAGAACTGTGTATATATCAACCTATTTAAAATTGTCACCTCACTCTGAGATAGGTACAATTATTATCCTCATTTTGTTGGGGGAGGAAGTGGAAGGACAGAGAACAAGTGAAATGTCCTCAAGATTATGTGTCAAGAATGTAGTGGAGCCAGGATTCTTACGCATATAGTCTGATTTCACAGCCTGGAGTCTTAATCATTACATTCTGCCTAAAAAGCAAAGAGGTTCACAGAAGTACACTATGCTCAGAAAACATTTAGGAGGATGTTCCCCAATGGAAGTAACTTCCTCTACTGAATTATGAAGGAAGATTAGAAGTTAGCCAGGTAAAGGTACTGACCCAAGGAGAGAAAAGAAAAAAGAAAGAGAACAGTACTTTGGGAAAACAAGTATGTCAATTCAACATTGCAAAGCATTATAGTTTCAAACTGGGAGGAGCAGGGAGAACATCCAACCAGCAGATTTTAAAGAGAGGCATTTAAAAAATTTTGCAAATAAGCATAGCCTTCTCAAATATTAGTCTATTTGAATAATGCATTCATTTAATAAAGCATACTCTTACAAGTTCACACAAGATTATAAACAAAGGAAATGAGCAAGGATAAACTCTCAGGGAATTTTAAAGCCAGGTTACATATAAATGAAACCAGTCACAATTAGAAAGAGGTTCGTTACTACATTTTAAAGTGCAAGTCCATTTATTTTTCTCCTTTTCTAATTATCTCTCTGGGGTCAAATATTTGAAAAATGTTCTTACATATTATGTATCTAACCAAAGGAGAGATTCTAAATCCAGGCTGTGAATAAAAAGTGTAGTGATTTTCATGCAGATCTTTTTATTTCATTTTACAACAAGCTATTTTTGAAAAATGTCAGTGGAATAACTACCATGGCTGCAGTTGGTCTAGCAGTTCATATGAAGGATACATTTTCGACCAGGAAGTAATCCTTTTAATTACAACTTTAGGTGTTGAAAAAAGAATGCCATGTTCATTTAGTAGTCACCACCACCTTAAAAGAAGGAAATTGACAATAAAGGTAATAACAAGAGCAATGATTTATTTAGTGCTTACTCTGAGCCAGACACTGGCTAAGCACTTTAGCACTTTACATACTATATTTCAGCACCTTAAAAATGTCATTCCACTGGCCTCTGATCTCTACTGTTTGTGATGAGAGGTCATTCATAATTCTTATCAAGATTCTCCTATGTGTCATGTATTTGCTTTCTCTGACTGATTTTATTACTTTATTTTTGGTTTTTTGCAGTGTCTGTGTTTCTGTGATCTGTTGTTTTAACAGTCTATTTATATTTTCTGTTTGGAGTTTACTGAGCCCCTTGGATCTCTGTGTTGATTTTTTTTTGTTTTATTAAATCTACAGAATGTTTTAGCCAATATTTTTCTTTTCTTACTCATTTTTCCTCTTGTTTTATGAAACTCCAGGTGCACATATGTTAAACTGCTTAATACTCTCTTACTGCGAGCTTCCTCGGTGGCTGAGCAGTAAAGAATCCGCCTGTCAGTGCAGGAGACGTAAGAGTTTTGGGCTCGATTCCTGGGTTGGGAAGATCCCCTGGAGTAGGAAGTGGCAACCCACTGCAGTATTCTTGCCTGGGAAACTCTAAGGGACAGAGGAGCCTGGCGGCTACAGTCCATGGGGTCACAAAGATTCAGACGCAACAGCATACACAAACACACAGGTCCCTGAGCCCCTGTTCACTTTTTTTCAGTCTTTTTTTCTCTCTGTTTCAGTTATGTTTAAATCCATAAGTTCACAAAAGTAATAATAAAAATGATAATAATCCAACTAATTGGTCATTTTTGAGGATGACAGAGAATTCATTACCTTGGGAACTTGGTAAATAATAGGAAAGAATTAATCATGAATCCTGACTATTTTAATTCTATAACTGTAATAGATGAGGGGAAGCAACTTAATGAAGTAATTCCAATAATAAATAAAGTCATACTGACAGAACTATGTATTACTATTTCTCACCTCTAATGAAATAATACAATTAAGAACTGAACACCAACATCTGCTAACAGTAACAAAGAGTGAAAATTAATATTCCTTGCTTTCTTATAAAAGAGCACACCATCACTTACAGTTTTGCCAAAAGGATCACATGTGAACCTGCCAATTTGTGGGAAGTACAGAGGAGAGAGAGACAGGGAACTATACCATGAGTTATTCAAGATGTGTTTGGGAAACTCTATAGGTCAAATGGCTTGGGTCCTTTATCAGATAAACTATTAGGAAAATAAAGTAATAGAGCTAAAATAAAATGGACAAGACTAAAACAGTATATAGGGATGCATAAAAACAAACAAATGGATGATATAAGAAAGGTAAAGAAGTGATCATTATAAAAGTCAGGTTAGTGGTGACTTTTGGAAGGAGAAAAGGGGCCATGATTACAATGGGGTCCATAGAAAGGTTTCTTTTTTTTTTTTTGTCCTGTTATAAAGTGATTTTATTAAATTGATTGGACATACTGTAGGTCAAGTAATATTTTCCGAAGATAACAATTATGGACTTTAAAGCTCGACATAAAATTAGTAGCTTCAAAAGTGTTAGTCATATCCCCCAGCAACAGCATGATAAAATAATTCAACTATGTAGAAATATAGAACTCTAGGACTAGCTGGAAACTCGGAAATCATTTAGCCTAATGTCCTCATTCTGTACGTGAGAAAACTAGACTCAAAGATTAAGCGATTTTGCCCAAGCTCACATACCTAATAGTAATAAAGCTAGAAATCAAACCCATTTTTCCTAAAACTAAAATTCTATCAATGATATTTGAACTGGCTCGCTATCAACTAAAAGTCTAGGCTTTTCTCTAATGCTCCACACTACTGTGACATGAGAGAGTGTTAAGACACTACAGTAAATCGTAGTCGAGGAATTCAGGCCTGGAAGGGGCTTTATCAAATAACTAAGCCAGCCCTCTCTTTGCAAAAAGGAGGAAAATTACGTGAAGTGACTTCCCAAAGGCTTATTAACAGAGCTATCCAGATGAAAATTCAGATGGTAACACATGTACCCCCGCCACCAAAAATCCCATCTTCTACTTTCACCCACTCAGTTAAGTGCCCCTTTTAAATCTCCTTTATGCACTGAGGTTTTAGTTATACAAAAACCCCTTCCAGTCAAATAGAAGAAATTAATTCAAATATGAAGGGAAAATCAAGCTTTGTTTCATATTTCGGTGACTATTTCAGGTAGTTCATTTTCCAACCTCTCAAGACAGTGGACAGACACTGCTAACCTGATCACCCAGTTCAGAGCTTTCAAAAAGCCTTAATTTCCCCCAAAGACTTCCTGAGCAAAGAGGACTACTTGTGGGAAATCAACAAAAACAGGAATAAGGAGAGAAACGAAGTTCAAAATTAGTTGCTTTTTGTTGTCATTGGGGACTTTTGGTCTTCTAAACCTTCCTGGAGTTCCTCCACATGAGTTTTTAGTATCAATCTAGAAAAAAAAAAAAGGGCCTATAAACGTCAGGATACTGAGCTTTCAGCATCTCCCCCGCCCCGCTGCTCACTACACTCACCGCCGGGCCGCGCCTTCTGCTCTGCCCACTGCGCACAGGGCCGCCCCCCTGCGAAAGCTGGGCACCTGCGCTCCGCAGCAGCCCCCGCGCTGCCCTTGCCTGCACAAAGGCCTCCCTGACCGCTATCTACCGCCGCCCCCCACCCNATCGCACTTGAAAGGTTTCTCCCCTGTGTGCACTCTCTGATGGATGCAGAGGCTGGAGCTCTGGCTGAAGGCCTTCCCACACCCACAGCACCTATAGGGCTTTTCCCCTGTGTGCACTCTCTGATGTATGCAGAGGCTGGAGCTCTGGCTGAAGGCCTTCCCACACTCATAGCATTTATAGGGCTTCTCTCCTGTGTGGACTCTCTGATGCATGCAGAGGCTGGAAGTGTGCCTGAAGGCCTTCCCACACTCTTCACATTTAAAGGGCTTCTCTCCGGTGTGCACTCTCTGATGCATGCAGAGGTTTGAACTATTGCTAAAGCCCCTTCCACACTCACTACATACATAGGGTTTCTCACCTGTATGAACTCTCATGTGAATCTGCAGGTGCGAGCTCCAATTGAAGGCTTTGCCACACTCGTAACACTTATAGGGCTTCTCCACTGTGTGGATTTTCTTATGTCTGTTAAGTTTGGTTGTAGTACTAAAATCCTTACCACAATCGTTGCATTTATAGACCTTCTCTCCTGTGTGGTCTCGCCAATGAATATGAAGTTCTGATATATGAAAGAAACCCTTGTCACACTTGTCACATTTATGGGGCTTCTCAGCAGTGTGAATTTTCTGATGCATAAAAAGATCTGCTCTCTCAGAGAAAAACTCCCTGCACATGGGGCACTTGTAGATCATGGTTCCTATTTGGTATCGTGATTTAGAGATTTCCTTACAATGACTGCAGTTACAGGCAGCTGTCTCAGAGTCTCTCATTTGGCCATGTTGGCATTTATCTCAAGCTGGCTCTATGCAGGAGATATGAGGTCGGCCTAAGCTTTTCCCTGCCTGTCTTTCCATGGAAGGTTTCTTCCTGCATAGTGTTCCTCACTCAGTATTATTACTGATTATAAAGTGACATGTACATTCACATCAACTCTGGAACTCGTTAACACAGCACTTTCTTTTAGATCCTGAGCTGTCAACATTCCAAGAGGCTGCCAAGGTGCAAACCTTTGTGCTTTTAAGCCCCTGGAATCTTCTTCTTGCAGAATAATCTCGTTCGTCTCACTTGCAGGGAAAGGCCTGCCCAGTGTCCCCTGCGGCTGAGGGTGTGATCCTGCGTGCTGGCCTCGGTCCCCAGGAGCCTCCCCTTGCAGAGTCACTATGACATCCTGCCTCCTTCGCATCAGACAGGAGCCTCCCAGGAAGCAAGCACCTCAGGTCCCGGTATGTCAGTCCTTCCTTGTGAGGACTCCCTGCACAGCTGTCGCTCTGGCGGTCTCCTTCTGTGATCATGAGGAAGGAGCTCTATCTTCCACAGAGATGTGTCTCTTGGATTTGCAGGTCACAGTGACAGAAGTCAAAAACCCCAAGACATTCCAGAGGAAGAGGCAGGGCCCACTGTGGCTGAAGGGCAAGAAGAGCCTCGCGATCCTGGGTGAGAATCCGGCCCTCGTTATGGTCGAACAATGGAGGCGTGCAGCGGCAGCAGCGATCTGCGCTGGGTGCCCGGAGGGTTCCTCATCACCTGAGTAGGATGCTCGGCTGGCTCAGCTGGGACGCGAGGCGCTTCCAAGTGAGGGGTTGAAGCTCCCCGGGCTGCGGACTCCGCGCACCCACCCTCCCTCTGCTCAAGGGACACCTCACAGGTGCGCCTCTGAGCCGCGCGCGAGCGCTCCGCACACCCATAGAAAGGTGTCTGGTGTCTGGCAAAGTTCTTTTCCTATTCCAGGTGGTAGTTACAGGATGTCTGACTTCCAATAACTATAAAGAAACAACTCATCAAGATACACATTTATTTTGTGTGGTTTTCTGTATCCGTGTTTTACTTCAACGTAATACAGTAAAAAAGACACACAAAATATATTGTTCACTATTCTCTATGTGTGTATGTATTTTAAAGATGATATACAGGTTAGAAAAGAGAAAGAAAAAAATATCTTTTAACAGCTGACTTTATTTTGAACTGGTTGTTTTAGGAGAATGAAAATTTCCTATTAGGTGAATATTACCATTTTTTAAAAATAAACAGATCATCCTCATTTCAAAAAATTGCTTTAAGTGACTAACAGTGTTGAATAATTTGAAAGTTATGTTTCCCAGAGATTTTACCATTATCTTCTTTAGAATTCAGAACTGAATGAAATAGAAAAGTGAGAGTAGTGACTAAAGCTCTTTAGAATGGTTCAGGGTAATAATAAAACAGTATTCATCTAAAACACTATTTTGTAGATTCTATTATATATATATCTATACACACACACACACACATGTGTGTGCGTGTGAATGTGCTTCAGTCATTTCCGACTCTGTGACACTATGGGTTGTAGATCCGCAGGCTCCTCTGTTCCTGGGGATTTTCCAGGCAAGAATACTGGAGTGGGTGTTTTATATATACATACATATATATATATATATATATATATAGTTGTACTTCAATCACTGAACAACAGTAACTATTTCCTCCTCCAGGGATATATAGCAGTTTAGCTCAGTCACTCAACTGTGTCCGACTCTTTGTGACCCCATGGACTGTAGCATGCCAGGTTTCCCTTACCATAATGAACTCCTGGAGTTTGCTCAAACTCACGTCCATTAAGTCAGTGATACCATCTCATCCTNCTGACTCACTGGAAAAGACCTTGATGCTGGGAAAGATTGAAGGCAGGAGGAGAAGAGGGCAGAAAAGGATGAGATGGTCAGATGGCGTCATCAACTCAGTGGACACAAATCTGGGCAGACTCTGGAAGAGAGTGAAAGACAGGGAAACCTGGTGTGCTGCAGTCCATGGGGTCGCAAAGAGTCGGATATGACTTAGCAAGAGAAAAACAACAAAGGTGACTGGGCTAAGATGGAGTCATGAGAGTGGACTTTAATCCTGTATGACTTTATATTTATAAAAAAAATAAATTCAAATACAGAATAGACACATACACAGGGAAAAACAACACGTGAAGATGAAGGCAGAAATGGGGATGATATATCTCTAAGCTAAGGAATACCACAGATCGCCGGCAACTACTGAACCTAAGGGAGAGTCATGGGCCAGACTGTCCCTCACAGCTCTCAGAAGTTATCACTCCTGCTGACTGACACATTGGCCATGAACTAGCCCCCAGGACTGCCAGATAATAAATTTCTAAGTCTCCTAGTCTGTGGTATTTTGTTACAACAAACCTGGTAAACAAACACTGGGAAAGATCAAGCTAGGGCAAAATGATGTCAGATTGTGAACTAAAGGGAAAGGGGGGTGTGTGTGTGCGCTCTGTCGTGTCTGACTCTGCGACCCCACGGACTGTACCCTGTCAGGCTCCTCTGTCCATGGAATTTTCCTGGCAACAATATTGGAGTGGGTTACCATTTTCCCCTGCAAGGTATCTTCCTGACCCAGGGATCGAACCAGCTTCTCCTTCACTGGCAGGCAGACTGCTTTCCAGCTAAGCTACCTAGGAAACTCCAAAGGGAAATGTACTAGGGGGAAGTTTCCTGTGGTGAGATAGGTGAAGAACTTTAAGGCTAGAGGTAGCCAGGAAACAATCTTCTGAAATGCTGAGGAGGGTGTTGGGCTTCCCGCAGCACGCCTGAAGGCTTACTGAGATACCAAAGGAGAGTGCTTCCAGACGGCAGAAAAGTTTGTGACATAAAGCTTTTAAATCTGAACATATTTTGAAGATAGCATCTGCTTTGGTGCTATTTATATTTATTAATATATCCATGAGGAACAATTGTATTTATACAGATAAGGTATGCATATGTTATTGAAGAGGTGTGTGCATATATATATATAGGACATATAATAAACCAACTTTGTTAACCCAATTGTATATTAATACATGGGCTTCCTGGGGGCTCATATGGAAAAGAATCTGCCTGCAATGCAGGAGACTCAGGTTTGAGACTCAGGGGATCGGGAAGATCCCCTGGAGGAAGGAATGGCTACCCACTCCAGTATTCTGGCCTGGAGAATCCCACGGACAAAGGAGCCTGGTGGGCTACAGTGCATGGGGTCGCAAAGAGTCAGACACGACTGACTGACTAACACTAACTATATTAATACATACGAGAGAGTGTGAATCTGTACATGTCTCAGTGTGAGAAAAAGTGCTCTTCATTCAGAGACTTCTATCTCTCATAGCCAGAAATAAAGTAAGCTGAAAGGCAACTAAAAAGATGAAATCACTGTCAAGGACAGGCGCACAAGGAAAGCGGTTTTATTTTTAATGTTTTGAAGTCACCAGAGTTATTTCTGCAACTGTACTGCTTGGCTGTTTTTCTTTTTCATTTCCAGTGTTTGTCTTTCATGCCTTGTGGGCAAGGACGTTAGTATCGATATCTGCATAGCCTGCCTCGGCTGATAATGTCTCGTATTTCAACCCTCTCTGGGCAGCTTCTCTGCATATAAAGACCATAAATTACAACTATTAGCATTAAGTGATTGTATGGGCAGATCCGCTGGTTACATTTTCAAAGCTTTGATGGACTACAGCCGATTTCAGGGGCAATTAGAGGGTGACTTTTCAGAGTGGATACTACTTCCAGGGTCCCTAACGCCAAGAGGGGGCCTGCGCACTTTCTCCCCAAATCAGCATGCTTTGGGTAGCTTGTTGTCCTGAATCAGCAAATGGGGATTGAGTCACTTGACAAACAGAAGAGACCAGAAGAGATGAGAATTAAATAATTCTAGAACACAAATAATAAGAGCTGCCATTTGTGGAATGTCTACTCTGCCTTTATATCTCCCATTCTCTGACTTAAACTGGAAAACCACACTCCAACACTGCTATTATTCATATTATTATCAACTTAGAGCAAAAGTGGCGGAGACTCAGAGAGTCAATGTATTTGTGGACATCTACTAACAGGAATCATATACAGGAATTGAACCTAATCTGAGATCCAAGCCTGTACTCTCTCCAACGTGTCATGCTGACAAAGCAAAAAGGACTACAATCTGCTATGAGACAGAATACTTTCCAATCAAGAGCTTATGTTTCAACTTATTCTTGACATAAGAGCTGATCCTAGTCGCGCTATTGCTGCTGTTCTCAAGAGAAAGAGCTGACAGGTTTAGAACTTTCACCAGGCTGGTCTGTAAGCTGCTGCGAATGGGAGGATATTCTTCCTTCAGTCTGTCAGCAGCAACTGCTTAGAAAGCACCAGTTCCTGACAGTACCTGCCAGTGGAATTCCAGGTAGAGAAATCCCTGCCATGCAGATACCTGGGACAGCTAGTAACCTCAATTTGGGGGAATAAGTTTAGTACCTAGAGAAAAACTTTTCTAACCCATCAATATGTAATTTCACTTTCATTGTTCTTTGCTCTTAGCTATGTACACAACTACTTCCTAGCAAACACACTGGTGTAGAGGTAACCTTGACTATAGGGAAAACTGCAAGTGAGATATACTTTCAGGTTTCACCACTATTATACCCAAGGATGGTCTTCTGTCAGGGTACAGGTAGTATCTGAAGAAACAGCAAAACAGCAATACAATACTTACAGGTGAAGCTTGTTAAAAATATTCAGGGCATTCTTTCCTCTCATCCCAAACCACCACAATCAAACAAGAGACCAAACTGGCCAACACATCCACTCTTTAGCAGTAGGAAAAAGTCCCTGTTCATGAAAGATTTGGAGAGAATAAGAACATCATAAAATACCCCCAAACTCAACAACCCTTAGTCTTTTTGACATTAACTCCTGCAAAATGTGCTGGGTGAGCAGAAGCACAGGAAGGAATATTGTATACAAAAGCTTTTGAAAAGTAACAGGGCTCTTTAGCAGAGAAACAAAAGCCCCACTGGACCAGGCAAATGAAAGGACTCAGCTGCTAGGAGGAGAGGAAAAACCTCTTCTTCATCCTCCTTTTCTCCAAAGGAAACAGAAATCACTCTGCATTATATTCTGAGCAAAAACAGAAGTCTATCTTTTTAATTTGGAAAAGATGGTGCTTGTTGAAAGAATATTTTAGAAAATGAAAAAGTAAAATTATAAGTTGAAGAGGAAACAACATCAGAAATGTGTTTTTTGGGGGTGGGTGGGTGATGGGAAGTAGGCTGCCCAACTTGCTTTTAAAGAACACATCTGTGAGTTAAAGACAGTTTATTGGACACACAGCTTTCAAAGGTGGTGACCAAAATGTTAATGCAAGTCCCAAGGCACAACAGTAAACAGTATTGCTTTTTCTTGGTGCAACTGAGATGCAATGAAGGGAAATGATGTAGAAGCAACAGCTGTTATGTGAAATGGAAGTCTCTTCATCTCAAAACA